TGCGTTTCAGTGGTGTAGCCAAAGATGGGGTATCTAAGTGGTCCGAACCGTATTTTTAGATTACAACGAATGTAAAAAAATCTGGTAATAAACGACCCTGACTGCTTTGAGGGTCATTAGGCTCAGAAAAACAAAATCTCGATGTAATGAATTGCTGCTGCTATTATAGAGTATTGACCGGGAGGTTTGGTACAGTTCAAAGACTTAGGGAATTTTTTCGTTTTATGATATAACTTGAGTACAAAATACTTAAGGTGTCCAATTCATCTAAAAGCTTTGATTCCGCAAAGCACAAACATGACTAAAAATACTGTGAGGATCAAGCTATATAAAATTATACTTGCTTTTTTTTATAATAATACTATTTTTGTTTTCTAAAAAAAGGATTAAGCAGTCCAATCTAAGCAATCAGCTCCTTACTTTTACACAGTCTTAAATACTTTAAATTCAGTTAATCATTTAAAATGTATTATAAAACTTTAGTTTTACATTATAATTTATATATATGTTACCGGCAAAGTGTATATGAAACGCCGGCGTTCTATAGAATGCCGAACATTTTTAGGCAAAGAATGAAATATGAAGATTGTTACATAATTTGCCTAGGCATTTTTAGAATGACAAATGCTGTTTAGGTAAAGTATGAAAAAATATCCTGATAAGGCTGTTATATCAATGACTAATATTCCTAAAAAATACAAATATTATTCTGAAAAAATAATGGGAGTGCCTTTGGAAAAATTATTCAAAATACGTAAAGGAGAATGAAGGTTGCACGAAACAAAATTTAAGGAAAATTATCATGGAAAACAAAATTTTCGTATAAAAAATAGGAAATTAAAATTAACTTACTCGTTGCAGCATGGTAGATTTGAATGGCGTTTCGAATTACATTTCACCACATTTTTCCAGCAGAGAACATTTCATATTTGGACACATTGTTTTTTACATACATTTGACGAATATTTGGTCGCTTCCAATGGACTGAAAAATTGCAACTGACCGGAGAGGAGTTTTGTGGTCAAGAATATCTTCAATTCTTAGGGAACAAAGTGAATTGTGATCTCGCATATATACTTGTTTTAAAATTCTTTCAGAAGTTCTATGTCGATATTTCCCATTCATTACAAGTGTCAGTATATTGGTATTCGGAAAAAATCACAGATTTTACAACAAATAATTTCACATAAATTAATTTTTCGTTTCTTCTAGCAAGGTTCACAAAGGTGGATGTAAATATCCCGACATGTAATGTTTTTGCACTTGGTTGAAAGATGTTTCAGAATTCTAACACGTCCTCCATGTGCAATAGCCAAATTAGCTTCATGAAATACGTGAAATAGAATCCGTGACGTAATACTGTATAGCACTGATACTTCCTTTAACATGATAAAGGAGTTTACTTTTGTTTTCCACAATCATCACATTATAGTGATTCAGCAACCAATAGTCCCTGAGTTGCCTCTTAGCAGTCAATTTAGCTTTTCGTGTGTATCATTTATTAATTTCTGGTAAGTAGTTTCGGTTAAGAAAAAACTTTTTCCCCTCGACAGTAACACGCATTAAGGGCATTTGATCGTCGAACAGTAGTTTCATGTTTATAGCCCATTACTCCTACGACGCTACAACTTGTTCCTTCATTTCCATGCAGCACAGGAAAAAACTAATTTCTTGTTTAACAAATTTAAGTAAAATTGCGCATTTTGACACTCCCGAACAAACTGCAAAGTGCAACTGACAAATTTTGAGCCTGAGGTACGCGTTAAAAGACACGTGCCTTGCCACGCTATATTCGAAACGAATTGGAGATGTATTCCATACTTTGCAGGTTTTTCATTTGGCATTCTATAGAATGCCTAGGCAATGCGTGAAATGTGAATCATCTCATACATTGCCGGTAACATATATATATATAAATTGCTCGCCATTCAACATTCAAGTAGAAATACCAGGAAGCAAAGCAAATAACAAAACTATCTATTATACGTGTGTATAGCATAATAGAAAGAAAATAATTAAATTATTAGGTAATTTGAATCCAAAATTAATATCACAAATGCCCCTTCAGGCAGTTAAAATGGCTTTAATCTTGTTAGACATCAAATAAAATGAACTCGGATGACAGGCACGGAAAAGTCATTCCATGCCTCATGTCTTGTCACACTTCATCAATCATATTGGCCCAGTCTCTCAGCAACCCATGACCAGATGTTTTCAATGGGTGAGGGATCTGGAGAACGTACTGGCCAGGGCAACAGTCGAATATTCTTTGTGTTAAAGTAGGCTAGCAACAATGCGGTCTTACGTTATCTTGTTGAAGGATAATGCTTTTGAGGCCGCGAATATAAGGTACAGCCACCGACCATAAAATCTGAGAAAAGTAACTCTAGCAGCTCAAATTACCAACAACACGATCAAAAAGGTGTTCGTGTTCTGTACCTGACGTCCTCTCATAACATCACCACAGGTTCAAGGCCCGTATGATGATATCGAATGCAAGTAAACCACGTGCATTCTTTTAGGTGCTTCCAATTACGGATACTTCCGTCACGACCTGGTGTCATTTCTGTATCCAATTTTGTGGATGGGCGCACCACTGTAAAAGAGTTTTTCTACGCTGTAACGCCTACGGAAGCCATAATATTGATCGTCTTGCAGACAGTCCATGCTGATCCAGACGTCCTCGTATTGTCCACACGGATACTTGCCAAAGGCCAATTCCTGACTTCAGGATGTGGCTGCACGATCCTGCAATATCAATCTGACAACCTGTTTGCCTTCTCCGGCATTAGTGATGGGAGGCCGCACAGATCTTATTAGGTGTTTGGTATGAACCTCCTGAACCAATCCATTCCATATTCTCATGGCAATCGTTAAATTCCGACCAATGCGAGCATTATCAAGGAATGATAAACACACTTCTGACGGTCTTCCCACAAGCGAATTCCTACACGTACTAGTAGGCTCCTTCTTATACGAACCATAACACGATCCTCTCGCAAACAAACAGAATTCAAATTCTATTTCCAAATAATATCTCTCTGCGTAGCTTTCTTTTTATACAGTGTTTGAGACGACGTTTTTCCTTTCTGCGTCAGGCATTAGTAGCAGGAGGCCATTAAGATTCTGCATGACGTTAGTATGACCCTCCTGAACCCACCCATTAAATATTTGCAGGGATTATATTTAAATATGACAGGGATTGGATTCCGATCATTATCGTGGAATGATAAGCCAAGATCCTGTGGCTATCGAATTACGACACTTGCAAGTAGCCATTTCCCTTTCTTATATAAGCCATAACGTGATTTTCTCGCAAACAAGCAACAATCAGTTGCGATTTCTGAAAGATAAACCCTTTGAGTAACTTTCCTTTTATACAGAGTTTGAGGTGCCATATCCCCCTGCTACGTCATTCGATTGCCCTCAAATACATGCTTCATTTGCATATCTCAGCATCTTTTTCCTTTCATGAGAATCTGATATTTGCATCATCTTTCCTTCAGAGTGTTGCGATTTTAATGCCAGCAGTGTATTTATAAAAGATAATTTAATGCATAAGTTGCAGTAAAAAAAGTAGAAAGGCTGATATTTTCACTGTTTTTCTATATTAACCACCAAGAATCTACTATTTTAATTAATTATTAATTGCACCTGACAACACTTTCCAAATACCTTGTTTCACTAATAATTAATTCGATTTTAAAAAATATGTTACGACAGTGATATATTTTTCTTAAAATTCTCATATTGCATTCAAGTAAACATGCAAAATTTAAGCAATATTTTATAAATCGATTGATGCATTATAATAATTTATACATAATGAGGAACTGAAGAAAGTGTTGAAATAATTTTAAATTATTACAAGCTTACGACAGTTGTGAGGCTGAATATATCTAGAAAATTTTTCTTCATAATTTAGCATTCTTCTTCATATTTTTGGGTCAAATGATGTTTCCACTTAAAATCTTTGCTTCAGACAACACACGTGTCAAATCCCGAGATAGCTTAGGAGTTGTGATCACGAACTCGTGGCTGCGGCGTGTCATAAGTTCGAACCCTAGTGCCAGTGGAGACTCACAGTGTAGAAGGGCTGATGCATGTTAATTCTGTCGAGGCTCAAAATTTTCCCATGGGCGTGGTGTTGTAGTGAGGCTCCAAAATTACGAGTTCCATTGCCATCAACCTTCGTGTTGCTTAAAAGTGCGACATTAACTAATATTCACTCACTTGGCAAAAGTCAGTGGCGTAACGGATAACATTAGGGGCCCTCTGCAAAGTCAGGTTTTGGGCCCCAAGACAGATCTTACAAACGGTACGTACTTAGTGTCAGTCAGGCTTTGGGGGCCCTAGAATCCTGGGCCCTCCTACAATGCGAGGGTGTACGTTACGCCACTGGCAAAAATCATTTGCCGAGGTTGCCATTGAAGTAACCTTAGAACGGAGACGTGATCCTAGCAAGAAAAATGCATTAGATCGTTTGTCATTTGAATTATATTTGCTTTTTATTAATATGTGAACTCATTTATCAAAATTCTCTGAGAAAATTTTTTCTTAAAATCCAAAAACCATGAGGATATATATATAGTGTAAATTCTCTTCTAAATATATATATTTAGAATAGTATATTTAAGAATATACACCATGGGGTGGGGTTAAATTTGCTTTAAAAAAAAAAAAAAAACTTTGCATATAACTTTTTAAATAGTTCCTATTTTAATATATCGTTTGCTTTTGACTGTATTTTTCAATTCCTACTATTAGTTCACACTCTCCGTATATATATATATACCTTGTTCGAATTTTCAATCGTTAAAAAAAACGCTTTTTTTCATCCACTCAAGTTCAGATACAATTTTATAAACTTGTAGTGGATGACACCTGATGTTAATACTTTTTTTTCAAGTATTAATTCATTAATTAAATTTAATTAATAAATAATTAGTGCCAAAACTAACAGTCCAGTACTATATATAAAAAGGAAAATTTCTCGTTGTATCCTTGTAGTGCAATGGATAGCGCGTTGGACTTCTAATCCAAATGCTGTGGATTCGAATCTCACCTGGGATGGCCTGATTTCTGAGAATGTTATTTCTTCTTACTATACTATTTTATTAGAATAATTAAATTTAATTAATGAATGAATAGTAACAAACAAACAAACAAAAAATAGTCTAACATCATATATAGAAAGAAAAACGGAAAATTGCAAGGAAAAATCGCTTTCTATTCTGTGACTTAATATTGTGATTCTATCATATGTATATACACATTTATATTAATTGTAACTATTTATAATAAAAAGTAACTAAAATAAAAATTTTCTTTTTGTGGACCTTAGTAGGAATTGACTTAATTTTTTTTTATATATATATTACTTGTTTATAATACATTCAAGTCATTTTCGTCGAACTATACCAGTGGAAATTATTGAGATAAATGAATAAATACAAAAACAAATATGGATTTATCTACGAAAAAAGGAGATGGAAATGCTGCAATAATTATAAATACACATTTCTGATTTTAACAAATTAGAAAGAAGAAAATGCCTATTCGCTGGAATTTTAGGAGTTATTACTTTTAGAATAAAACGAACAGATCGATTCAATTCTTACTAATCTTTTCATCTCCTCAACAATGTTAAATATAATTCTAGGAATCAGGTAATGCAGGAAAATTCGCTGAAATCCTACTTAGTTGCGTTCGAGGAGAGAAAAAAAATCAAAGACGTCGGCCCTTTCCTTCGAAAGGTCATGCAATATCGATCAAATGTCCACCAATAAACTTAAAATATTTCCATTCTTAAGACCCCTGATGGTAAGACGGAATCCCTTCGTTATTAAACCTGATGAACAGTGTTCTATTATTTTAGCTTATTTCGAAAAATGTGTAAAAGGAGCAATTTTTCACAAATAGAATAAGTGAATAAATATAAAGGTGTTTTTATGTGCATAAAATCATTCGTAATTTTTATTATATGTAATAAACTTTATTTAACTTCATTCATACATTTTTATATATACGTTACCGTTAAAGTGTGAAATTCGTTATTTCATAGAATAACTAGGTATTTCATGAAATAACTAGACAAGTCAATTAAAGTATATAAAATTATTGAATTCTATGATTAAACTAGGTATTCTATAGAATAATGATTACTTGATCGTTAAAGTATGAATACGGCACTCAAAAGTTCTTTGAGTCTGTTCTAGCTGCTTTTAAGTTTTTAACCGCTTATAGCTACTTTACAATGCTTGTTTCAAAAATAATATTCAATGTAATTCAAAGTGTCATCACAGCAATCCTTGCTCTAATAAATAATGAAAGATAAAATAAACGTACATATTTCATAAAATTTAAATTAATATTCTCTTACATTTTTGTTTGAAAAAGTTTACACAATATTTTTATAACACAACAGTTTTTCTTCCCAGCACAAGTATATATATATATATATTTTATATTTAATTGTAACTATTTCTGCACACACAACATAATTTTTTTTTCTTTATGTTTAATGTTTGCAATATGAGCAATAATAAACTATTTCATCTGCTTTTCCTTATTATTTATCAATTAATCATCCGCGATAGGGATAAAATATATTTTTCGAGGGATTTTAGCTATTTATGATCAATTAATTTATAAAATAACTTTAAAATTGTTTATTTTTGACTTTAACGGTCTATCATCACTTACTTCAAAGAATAACTAGGTAAAGTATGAAATATTTAATCTCTGTTGTGTATACTTTAACTAACTTGCCTAGTTTTTTTCAAGAAATACCTAGTTATTCTATGAAATAACTGAATTATACGCTTTAGCGGTAACATATATATTATATGAAAAACTGTAGATTTTACTCATTGGTCTAAATCAGTGTACCTCTCCCTCAGTCAAGCCCCTCCTATAGACCTACATTTTTAAAATTTTTAGCATGAGCTTACATCTAAGTTATTTAAAAATGTAACCCCACCCATAAAAGTAGTATGTGTACATTTCTGTTTCCATGTCAAGTTGTATCATTTTCAGAAGAAAATGAATCTCATTTTATAATTTATATCTCTTAAGATTCTCAACATATTAATTGGTATATCGCATTTCGATTATTATTAATAGAGTTACGAGGTACACTTTGGAAGTTCATAAATCCGTCATTCAAGAATTCAATGCGTGCACTTGAGGATACGTATATCAGTTTTTTATATAAAAGCATAAATTAAGGTTTTTCATGCAAAGTTGTTATTTTTATAAGAAGGAAAGAGCGAAAAAAAATGCTCCAAAAATTCGTTTAGAAAAATAATATTTACAGTAAATTATTATCAATGCTTATCCAAACGTATGCAGTATAATCAGTGGCGCACATAGGAATTTTTCAAGGGGTGGGTCCAGGGTCGAAAGTTCACAAATTTCGTATCATGGTCCAATACGCCGCCCAACGTATTATTTTGATTTTGTCGATTTTCGAGAAAAATAACATTAATTAATTAATTATTGAATAAATAATTCGCATTAATTTATAAAATTAATTATTAATAACAAATACTTAATTTTACATACTATATACATAGGATTATAATCAATCGAAAAAAAATCAAGGGCTAGGGGATTTGTGTGCGCTACTGAGTATAATGCATGCACAATAGAACTCTCATTAATCCAGATACGTCTGGATAGGTCGTCCGGTTGAGACAAAATAACACATAAAATGAGCCAAGGCACACAGCTAAGCATTCTGTACAGTAGTGGTTTTCAAACATTTTTGACTTACAGAACCCATAGAAACTTAAGGGTTTTTTGTGGGACCCTATTCCACCCTCACTTAGAGAGGTATATTTTAAAATAATATATAAAGTAGATCAATATGTTATAGATACTTTATGTAAAGGCAATTAAAAAAGTATTTTATTTGTTATTATAAAACTTTAATTTAGTTTTTAATATAATTTAATTATTAATAATATTAATTTGTGATCCAAATGTCACCTACCTCTGCATTATATTTAGTAATTGGGGGTATGTACTTGCCAGTAGCGCACACAGGAATTTTTCAAGGGGGGGACCGGAATTGAAAGTTCACCAATCTTGTATCATGTTCCTTTTGATTTTATCGATTTTCGGGAACAAAACACAGTAAAAAACTAATTATTGAATAAATAATTCGCGTTAATTAATAAAATTAATCATTAATAACAAATACTTAATTAAATTATACGTACTATATACTTAGAATTATAATCAATGGGAAAAAAAATCAAGGGCTTTAGGGGGAGGGGGTTCCGGACTCCCAGGACCTCCCCTTGTGTGCGCCACTGGTACTTGCACATTTTTACACAAATTTTGAAGTCTTGTTGAAATTATCTGCTGTCACATTTTTGTTTTCATATTTTGTTTCCGTAGCCACTCTGAGAAATATTTTTCACTTAAAAATATTGTTTTGAATGTGGTATTAAAATGTTTATAGCTGTGGGAGAAGCCCTGTGTATTTTGCAGGAGAGAGAATTTACAACCTAAAATTTAGGAGCTGTTCTTGCTTCAATTTGAAATTTAACGTCGAATCTGTTGATATGTCGATAAGTTGTTTACTCTTCTTGATTATAGGTGTTTTTTCCCACAAATGTAAAAAAAAAAAGTACATTTTCCATTAGAAAACTACTTAATTTTCAAAACTTTGTACTAACGAATGTGTCGTAAAACCCAGGATGATAAACACAAAAATATTCCCAATCTAGTAGATAGTACATATAAAGAACACACGTTTTTTAATATTCTTTTATTATATTATGCTTAAATTTTTAAAAAGTTTTACAAAATAAAGTTATTACACTTAAATAAAATTTTTAGTTTTACTGACAAGGATGAACGTTAGATACTTGTGGTTACACAGAGAAAGCGAATCCATTTTACATACACATTTATAAATTTCTTTTCGATTTTTTACTGTGACTCGTGGAACCCCGAGGCTCCATGAAACACAGTTTGAAAACCACTGTACTAGAGTAATCATTTACTCAATATTTTTAAATAATTTGATAAATGTTACTAATAAATATAATGTATGGTTTTTTGTTTTGCTAATAAATACAATGTAAGCTTCAATTAACTATTTTACTAACCTATTAATATCTTAATATTTTCCAAGTAACCTATTATGAATAATCCTAATTGATCTTTATATATGAATTGTTTATATTCCTTGTTTAGTATTAAAAATATCTTACAAATCAAGAGATAAAATTCTGAAAATTAGTGCCCAAAACACGAGGCCTATTAAAAGAATAAGAAAATGGACCGAAATGCAGAATTATGATTGTTTTCTAAATCTTTGAAATGTGTAATAATAATAAAGTAAAGAATTTTTTTAATGTCACATTACTGTTTTATTGGCTTACATCAATACTATATTATGCAATTTTTATTATTATTATTATTATTATGTTATTTATTTACTCTTTTGATTCGAAAAAACCCGCTGACCTTCACTGAATTATCATAAACATCCGGCGGTATGTCTTCAGGTGCGGAAATTCATGGTTGGCTAACTTTCATCCCTCACTGGATCATTGCGACTTACTAAAAAATAAATAAAGAAAGAGAGGGTATAGCGTAAAACAAAAGGTAGAAATGAAGGTTGGTTCAATTAAACTTTTGTATTATTATAGAAAAGTTTAAATGTGACAGAGTCTGATTTATAGCTTCTTTGCAATTGTGCCAACAATGTTAATTTATACAATATACCTAAATTTGTGATAGAGGTCGGCAACCTATGGCATGCTTGCCACATGTGGCACGTGGCACAATTCTCAGTGACACTCTGCACTACTCAACAAATTCATCGATTTTTGAGTGGATGGAAGTAGATAAATTTGTAATGGATCTCTCTCTCTCTTATTTGACAAACATTTTCAAAATTATGGACATTTACGGAATTACGCAAAAATCTGAAAGATAAATTTACAGCTATTTTGTAAATTATTGAATGTCATTGTTGGAGAGTTTTGTTGAAGAGAAAAAATTGCATGTGTTCCGCCTTCTGTTTTTGGTTCTACATATCTAATTGTAAGTAA